GGTAGGGCAGAGAACAGCACCGTGGGCCCTGGGGAGGTTCTGGCTGTGCTGGGGCAGACTCCCAGGCCAGCCATGGTCTCCAGGCCATCAGCACTTTGGAGTTAGCCAGGGCAGCCTACACAAGCAGGCTTCAGGTGTATCCCAGACCAGAAATGTCACACTCAGTATAAAGGGGGAAGTTTGCTGAGGGTGGGACCTACTTCTGCTTGGGCTCCTCCTACTCCTGCTCTTCCTTCTCCCCCTGCTGCTCCCCATCACTGGGGGTGGCTTGCTCACCCTTTTCTGCTGCTGAGCACAGCCTCCCTGCGTATTGCAACCACCATACACTCGCTGGGCAGAGTATAACTTTTTTTTCACTTTATACTGGCATTGGTATTAGTTTGGCTGTTGTATTAAATCCGTTCTCATTTCTGCTTGCGGGTGTCTTCTCCTTTTCCTGGTCCCTCTTCTGAGGTTATAGACCTATAGGTTAGGTTACGGAACAGCAGTTACACACCGTTGGAAGATGCACCAGCTGGGCCCCACTCGTGCCCCACAGCCTAGAGGAGATGCTGAGACAGATGGACTTTGAGACGAGCTCTTTATTGGGGTAGATCGGTGTGGGATATAGAGATGCATACCCTCACCCCAAGGTGGGAGTGGTGTGGTGGGGAGGACTTCCACAGCTCCTTGCTGTGCAGGGGGCAGAGCCAGGGTATGTACAAGCAGGGGCCAGTACCTGGGGAGGGGCGGGGAGTGATTCCCAGGGGATTTCAGGGCCTGGGCAGGGATGCCTGGTGCTGGGGGCGGGGGGGGTCACCAGGGCAGTCTCATTTCTGTCGCCCGTTGACTGCAGCCGCTTGATGCGAGCGTCGATGTCCGCAAAGTTGTCCTCCACCACAGCAAGGTTTTCCTTCATCGTCTTCTGGACCTGGAGAGAGTGTGAGGGGTGTGAGTGGGGAAGGGGGTGAGCAAGCAGACAGGATGGGGACCCCACTCCACCCCAGCAGCTGCTGGTGGAACCCACCTCTGCCAGCAGCACAGTGTTGTCCTTGAGAGCACCAGCTATCTCCTGCTGCGTGGTGTCCAAGTGCACGAGGACCTGACCGAACTGTGTGGCTGGGAGGGAGGGACAAGTTCAGTGCCACAGCAGAGGAGCAGCACCCCTTCCACACCCCGAGATGCTCCCGGCCACACCACAATCCCAGCCACCCCCTCACCTTGCTCGTGCAGGTCCCTGAGAGTCACCAGCCTCTGCACAACATCAGGCAGGGTGCTGGCCACAGGGTCCCAGTGCTGCATCGTCTCATAGATCTGGTGGATCTGAGGGACAGGGAAGGGCAAAAAGTTGGGGGGAACACCACAGCCTGGTAGGGGGGGCTCCATATAACCCCACCATGATGAGGTTGCCTTTGGGGGGCTCTCCCCACCAGCTCTTACCTTGCTCTGGGTGTCAGCATCTTGCACGGTTGCTTTGTGCTTGGCAATTTCATTTACCTTCCCCAGGACGCTCTGGGAAGGGGGGAAGCAGATGTGAGACTCCCAATCTAGTGGTGCCCACCCCCAATTTCACAGCCTTGGCCAGTGGTGTCCCATAGCTCTCCCATGGCCCTGTGACACCCACCACACAGTTCCCTCCTCCTGTACCCCTCACCTGCAGCCGGGCCTCCACTTGGTCCAGCATGGCCATGTCCAGGATGTTGACCTTGGCCTGCAGGACCTGCACAGTATCCTGGGGATGGAGAGCAGGGTGAGGGAACACAGCAGGACCCTGGGACTGCCTCTTCCAAGCACTACGGGCACAGAGTTGGGGGGAAGGGACACTGCATGCCCCCTACTCCCTGTGTGACTCACCACAAGGCTGGTGCCCTTCAGCCCAACCAACAGCGGGTTCTGTGGGGAAGGAAATTGCATCAGTGGGGCAGGATGGGGGTCCAGGAGTGGCAGGGCAGGAGCCCCTGCCCCCTCACCTGGCTGTCTGGCTCGCACCGCACTGTGGACTCCAGCTGTGCCAGCCGCCTCTCCAGCTCTGCGATCTGTGGGTAGGACACCCCACAGATGGGAGGTGAGATGGCAGGACACCCCACTTCAGGGTCAGGCACCGGGTGTCCGCCCTCCCTCTGCTCACCTTGGCGGTCTGGGCAAACTGGTCCTGCTCTGGCCTCCAGTACAGCTCAAAGGTGACGGTGTCTCCAGCGGGCACTGGGGCTTTGGCAGGACCCTTCCCTGGTGCCGCCTTGCTGCACTTTGCCACCTCCAGCTGCTGCAGCAGGCGCCTGGACAGGGGGAAAAGGTGGGGCTGGGGCACTGGCACCGCCTGCCGGTATCCTCCCCCCGTTCCCAGAGCTGCAGCCCCAGGGTCCTGGGACCACACTCACTTGGCCAAGGCGCCGTCAGGGTCTGCAAAGTCTATGGCTGCCTTGGGGCCCATGTGGCTGGACACCAGCTGCTGCTTCAGGCCCTCGACCTGCCTGGCCAAGGCCATGGGCGTCAGCTCCTCCTCTGCTGCAGCCTCCTTCACCGTGCTCTGGAGTGGGGAGGAGGGAAAAGTAGCTGTGTCGTCCTGCTGGGACACCCTCATTGCTGGTCCCCAGGGCTGGGGTGATGCTCACCTGGATCTGCTCCACCTCCCTAATCAGCTCCTGCACCTCGTGCTGCAGCCGCTGGTACCGCTGCTGGGGCGTCTCTTTGGCACCAAGACCCTCACCAAGCTGCAGAGAGAAGAATAGGCGGGGGGGGGAAAGAAAACTGGGTCGCTGTTCCCCAAGCCCCCCTGGTGTCTGCCCAGTCTGCCCAAGCCTGCACAGAAAGGCAAGAAAAGGAATTGACTGGGGAGAAGAAATGGGTGAGGCCCTCGAGAGTCAGGCAGGAGCAGCTTCATGTTCATGTGACCCGGTCCTCCAGGGGAACCTTCAGAGAATCCTGCTGGAGGGACAATACAGCAGGGCAGAAGCAGCCTAGGAGGATCTTAAGGATAACAAAGTCCTCCTCCAAGTGACACCACTGCCAGTGAGGAGAGGGGCTCCACTAGAGTCATCTTCAGCCAGGAGGGGCTTGGTGGAGAGAGGCAGGTCAAAGACAGCTGGGGCTGCAGTGACCACAAGATGGTGGAGTTCAGAATGCTGACGCTGGGGAAAAGGGGGCTCACAGCCCTGGGCATCGAGAGCAGACTCTGGCCTCTTCAGAAGTCTGCTTGGAAGAGTCCCCTGGGATCAGGCACTGGAGAGCTGTGGGGCCCAAGAGAGGTGGCTGATGTTTGACCACCTCCTCCACTGAGGGCTCCATCCCAACTAGCCCTCCCCAGCAATCACTCCTTCACAGAAAATCCCTGTGACAGCCTGCGAGCAGGGGTGTCCCTACAGGAATTCTTTGAGTGGAGGAACTGCCAGGAGAAAAAGTATTGAAATGATTTTCATTTGCTGTTGTCAAGAAGGTGGCAGCACTGCCCTGGCTGAGTTATGCAGGCTTTGCTCTGTGGTCGGGAGGGTTGTGCACCACAAGGAGAGGTCAGAACATCCACAAAACCTGTCTGGCACAAACAGATTTGAGGTTCAATATTCTTTTACCTAATTTGGCAATTCTAATTGCAAAATTGATCCCTCAGTGAAGGCTCAGGAATCCAGCTGATGGCATCGCATGGGCACTCTTGATAGTCTTTAATTGGTCCTAGTGACAGGGAGAAGTGCCAGAGGACTGGAGGAGAGCAAATGTCACCCTCATCTTCAAGCAAGGTAAGAAGGAGAGCCCAGGGAACCACAGGCCAGTCAGCCCCACCTTCTTCCCTGGGAAGATGATGGAGCAGCTACTCCTGGAAACCATTTTCAAGCAAAAGAATGACAATTAAAAAAAATAATCATAAAAAGAAATTAGCAACTTGATAAAATTCTACAGTGAACTGACTGGCTTGGTGGACAAGGAGAGAGCAGTGGGTACTGTCCACCTGGACTTCAGGAAAGGTTTTGACACCGTCTTCCAGAAGATCCTGCAGGAGAAGGTGCTGAAGTCTGGGATGGGTGGGCAGGCAGTGAGGTGGATTGAAACTGCCCAAACAGCAAAGCCCAGAGGGTGGGGGGGTCACTGGGCCAAAGTCTAGTTGGAGGCCAGTAATGACTGGTGTAGCCTGGAGGTCAGTGCTGCTTCCCATCCTCTAACATCTTCATTGATGACCTGGATGCTAGAGCAAGCCCTCAGCAAAGTGGCAGATGACACCACACTGGGAGGAGTGTCTGAGAGGCCAGAGGGTCACAATGCCATCCAGAGAGACCTGGACAGGTTGGAGAGATGGGCCAACAGGAACCTCAGTGAGGGGAACTGCAAAGTCCTGCTGTGGGACTCCCTTCCTAGGCAGGAACCCACAGCACTGGTGTAGGCTGGAGGCCACCCAGCTGGAAAGCAGCTCTGCAGAAAAGGCCCCAAGGGTCTTAGGGACACCAAGCTCAATGTGCGGCCTGGCTTCAGCTGGGATAGAGCCAATTTTCCTTCTTGGCAGCTAGAACTGTGCCATGGTTCGGATTCAGTGTGGGAAATGTTACGAGAAGAATGCTGATAATACACTGATGAGTTTAGTTGTTGCTAAGGAATCAAGGACCTTCCAAATTCCCATGCTCTGCCAGCAAGCAGGAGCACAAGAACATGGGAAGGCGCATGGCCATGACAGCTGACCTGAACTAGCCAAAGGGCTATTCCAGACCACAGGACATGACACTCTGTGTACAAACTGAGGGCAGCTGGCTGGGCATGGGGAGACTCGCTGCTCAGGCATCAGTCAGCAAGTAATCCCATTGGGCACCACGTCTTCTCCTGGGTTTTATTTCTCTCTTTTTGTTATATTCCTTGTCATTACTATGAATACTACTATTATATTATTATTATCATCATTATTATTATTACTGTATTTTATTTTAGTTACAAAGCTGCTCTTCTCTCAACTCATGAGTTTTACTTTTTTCCAGTTCTCCCCATCCCACTGGGACAGGGCAGGGGGAAGCAAGCAGCCGCCAGTGGTTTGGATGCTGGCTGGAGTCAAACCATGCCAACATGATGCAGCAAAGGCAGCCAGCAGTGCCCTGGGCAGCGCTGGCAGTGTCGTGGTGGGGGAAAGGGATTGCTCCTCCCCCTCTCCTCAGCACTGCTGAGGCCATGGCTGGAGGAGCACTGTGTCCAGTGCTGGATTCCCCAGTACAAGAGAGACATGGGCATACTGGAGGGAGTCCAACAAAAGGCCACAAAGGTGCTGACAGGGCTTGAGCATCTCTCCTATGAGGAAAGGCTGCGAGAGCTGAGACTGCTCAGCCTGGAGAGGAGAAGGCTCTAGGGGATCTTATCAGCACCTGAAGGGAGGGTGCAGAGAGGATGGAGCCTGGATCTCCTCAGTGGTATCCAGTGCTCTGACCAGAGGCCATGGGAAGTGCAAGAGTTTCCCCCTAAGCAGCAGGAAAGCCTTTTTTACGGTGAGGGTGACCGAGCACTGGCACAGGTTGCCCAGAGAGATGATGGAGTCTCCATCCTTGGAGATATTCAGAACTTATCTGGACACGGTCCTGGGCACCCTGCTCTAGGTGGCTCTGCTTGAGCAGGAGGATTGGCCTACATGACCTCTGGAGGTCCTTTCCCACCTCTGCCCTTCTGTGACTCTGTCATTTGCAGCCTTGAGCAGGGACGTGGCCGTGGGGCGAGTGGGGAGGAGGGGCCGTGCGCTGGGGTGCCTCACATCGCCATGCTCTCCGGACTCACAATTTCATACTCCCCAGACTTGTAGCCTGTTGTCCTGGGCTTACTGATGCAATCAGAGAAATCTGGAAGAGGAAGAGCAGGGTGTCACCCCAAAATGTCCTGAGTGACTGTGCCCTCCTTGGGGTCAGCTCAGGGTGCCCATAACCCACCCTTCCCCAAAATCCCCTGGCTCACCCACTCCCTCGGTGCTCAGGCGCTTGTCCCGGAACTTCTCGTAGGCAGCGTTGGGGTTAATGATGAGGTGCTCCACGCTGGTGCTGGTGAGCTCCTCCTGCACACAATGCTCGGCATTAGGCAGCCAGGAGGGTTTGTCTGGGGCCCTGGGGTGAGGACGGACGGTGCCAGAGGGTGCCAAGGTGGCCCCATCCTCCCCAGGACAGGGGCACAGCCCCCAGGGACTGGCACACAGGGACTGAACCCAGCAAAAGATCTGCTGGGGCTGTCCAGGATGAAACACATCCCCAGGTCTGGTGCCCCTGGCTGGGGCAGGGGCCAGCAGACAAGAAACCCTCCCGGAGCGCCCGGAGGTGAGGCCAGAGGCGCAAGTGCACACTGAGGCTCAAAACCCTTCAGCAGCCCCACAACCAGAGCACCCGAGCGTCGGGGGCTTCCAAGGCTGCCCCCAGCCCAGCAGGGCTGCAATTGCACCACGGGCACATTTTGGGGTGACTCCTGGGGGGCACTGGGGGGGCTGCAGGGCTTCAAACCCCTCAAAGACCAAAGGGGCTTTGCCTGGAGCCTGGCAGCATGAGTGCAGGCCGTGAGTCTGGGCTCTCCTTGCTGGCCAC